TGACATGACCACTACCACACTAAGCCATGACAAATGTCACTTCCTATTAGAGTCACCATTCCCCATGTTAAAGAGATTTAATACAAACATCCAAATCACTTGCTGTAGCTTACATCAAGAAACAATTATGATTATTGCAATACATCAGCTTTTTACAAGAATATGTTTACAGTAGTTACTTGAAATAGTTTAGGATTTATTTTTTACACTTTTTAGTTACTGTTTTCATTACGGATTATTGCATATTTCAAGGACAGCTGTCAGTATCTGGGGTATAACCTAAGCCTTATACAGCACATTATACTATGCTGAAGATAGCATTAAACTATACACTGCAGAAGAGGCTTATTAACTGACACCTATCAGAAATTCTCATGGGCACAGATGTCAACCAGCAAAGTAGGTCACATTTTAGACAGGCTCCTAAAAATCAAATCACTTCAGTTTAATGAGGTGATATGATAGAACATGCACAACCCACCCAGGGCCAAGTGTAGCTGAAATAAACCCTGGCTTGCTGTATCACTCAAGGAACATCAAAACAGAGAAAAGAGGTAGGAAGTTGAGCTAAACAGGCAAGAAGGGCCTGTCTTCAACCCTCCATTCCCAGAAAAAGTGAGGCTGAAAGAGAGGGAACAAGTGAACAACTGCTGCTTTTGGAGGCCCTCTCAGGGACAGAAGGACCCACCATGGAAGTGCTACCCTGTAGATAACCTATAATAATCTTAACACGCCCTATGCTAAAGAGGGTTGAGTACAAGTGCCTACTCATTTCCCTTTTTTCCTTTGGATGAAGGAAGAATGAACGCTCACAGTCTCAAACTGTCTTTTATACATTAAAACATTTTGTTGACCATATGGATACAGAATCCTGATAAAACCTGACATTCCTCCCATTTTACTCTACAGAAGTACTCTGCTTTTTTCTTCAGGAAAAATAATCACTTGCCAAGAATAATGTGTTACAGAAAAAAAATCCACAAGCATTAAAGCATCAAATGCTGCAACACCTACGGCAAGTCCTTCAAATCACAGACAGCACTTCAGCGTATCAAACTTCAGCTGTGCCAGTATGGCTTTGTTAAACCAAATACAGGATCCTAGCATTTCAAGAATTCAAAGCATACACTTGATGTGAATCTCAGTTTTTTCAACATCCCTGTGCAAAAGAGCTGGTTTTCTCCCTCAAATAACTAATAATTTTCATTAGTCTTATAAGACTAATTCACTTGATGTGAAAAGGACCATATTCTCCAAGAGCAAAAAGCATCAAAGCATTTTTAATTAAATTTTTTGTTCCTGAAATCATATGTAAAAGGTTACTTTTTAATTTCAACAGAAGATAAACATTGTTCCTTTTGTGAGGCTTGAAGGAAAATTACACTCTCCACCTCCTGAGTAAATACCTTTTGCTAGAAGGTCAGATCAGCAATCACAAGCAAAGTTTCACTGTCCTCACCAACACCACCTGTGTTCACCCTCCATATTTCAGAGGGATGCAGAAATTAATCAAGAAAACCCCATTAGGTCAGTTGTGTCTGATCCTGATAAGAAAGGGCATTTTCTCACAGGCCTGCTTATGTTCTGAACATTAAGTGTTTCAAATAATCCTGTTTGCCCTATTCACCTCTTTTTTTTCCCAGTGCTGTAAAACAGATTCAAACAGCAGAAGAGTCAAAGATCACAAAAGTTGAATCCCAGCTCAAAAATGCCACACAAATCATCCTTTAAATGTGGTTACAAGGCACGTGTTACAAGATCTTCTCCCTTTATCTTAAAAGTATCAAATGGCAGGGAAGGGACGACTCTCAAGCATACCACTGACAGCTAGAAAACTAAGCTTAAAATTTCTTTCCATGGCAAGAATAGGTAAAGAAGCCAACAATCTATTGATAGGTAAGTTGTTTAGAAATTGAAAGGGGGGAAAAATAAGGGAGGGAGGGACAAGGAAATATTTACAGAAACTCTAAGTGGGATCAACAAAAAACCCACATAAAAGGGACAAAAAAAATTGAAACCAAGAGGAATAGGACAGCAACAGAGCATTCATATCTACAGTAACATGTACAGTGAAAGACATAAGGGCATGTATCAAAAAATTCCTGTATTCATTTAAGATGCCAATGCTCTCCCTCCTACTTTGTTTTCACACAAACGTTCCAGCAGCAACAGAAGATACCAAGCTCTGGGCATGTGAAAGCAATTCCTATGCCAAAATTGAACAGGAGGGAACTATAAGGGGAAGATGTCTCATCGATTTCACTTAATCATTTACAACATTGCTATCCACCCAGTACTGAAAATTAGTAACAGTAGATTTGTTTCTTCCCTTATACAGCTTCTGAGCTGTATAGAATTAGCTTTCCTTCTAGCATAGCAAAACACAAATCAAAACGACCTTCCTGTCATGCATATCAGGACCACAGTGGGTCGAGACTAAATGCATGGTGAGCCTCCATCACAATAAATACCATTTGTCATATTCAAGGAGGCAAGTGAATACTGAAATGTTAACTCAGAAACACCTCAACTGTAACTCCATAAAACTAAATTACTTATTCAAATTGGTTTAATACATACTTGACAGACTTTTAGCTGGGTATTTTTTGTAATTTCTATTTGTTAAAATAGTGTTTCTATGTAGGCATGATAAAGAGCAGCCATTTTACATCATTTTTCAGAACACTTCCAAAATGCTGGTGCTGTAACTTCACCTCTACCACACACAAGCATCCCTCAACGGTGACATTAATATGTAGTGAGCTTTTGGCAACTTGCTACTGCTTAAATACAGGTGTCTTAGTCCCCCATCTCATCTCTCCTCCCTACCTATGCTGAACCTGTCACTGCATCTGCTCCAAAGCAGATCATACTCTCCTCTGAACCAGTTCTGTTGTAAAGCAAAAGAGTAGTAGATAATTTTCCACTGAAAATGAGTGCTTTTCTAAATTACAGACATTATTTACTTACACTGGGAAACACAGCATCTGATCCCAACCATGAATGATTTCTCCAATTCCATAGAGAACAATAGCTAATAGATCACAAAGCTAATATACAGATGGAGCAAATCTTAAATGCAATCAGTTGCAAAGAAAATGAAACTGTGGAATATCTCTCTGAAATACTGAATACAATTTTTTCTAGAAGCCAACAGTGAGAAAACATTGATTTATCTGAAATATATTCAGCTTGTAAATATTTCATCCTACCAATTTCATTTTCCCACCCAGAACAGAGCCATAAACTTAAAGAACATATTTTCCCTGCAAAAATGTATACAATCCCCTTTCTGGCTGAAGAACTTTTTTTACTTCCTTCTCAGAAAAAAGAACAAAAACACACAAAAACATCTCAAGGAGACGAATGAGCCCACAGGGCTAATCTGAAAAGACAGCTAGATGCACTCCTAGATTATATTATGCTCCAAAAGTGAGAGTAAAGTCCCAAATCCCACACTAGTGTAATACAGTAAGCCTACAGAGGAAAACTGGAAAGCATCTGCAGATGGGTCCTTGCATGTTCCACCAGAAGAGAAACCACAGATGCACTTAGGTACTAACTGCACCTTTTATGTAGTTGTCAGGGGGCAAATGCTTGACACTTGCATAAAAAAAAGCCACCAAGAAAAAAACCTACATCAGCCTTGTGTAGAAATGATTATGGTTCTTAGTCCTCAGGTTGTGAAGCAGCACTGTTACCACAGGTCAGAACACAAAGAGGCCTTAGATGCAGAACAAAAAGCAGCCTGGCTACTTGTCTTGCTTGCATCCCTATCTCAAATTCATGTCCATCACAATCAAAAGCTCATCTTGAAAGAACTGGGTTTTCCCTAACTCTGCAGTAGCTATCCCTTATTTATATTAATCCTGGTAATACTCCTGCAACTCTTCATAGCTTGTATTATCCCTCTTATTAGTACTCAACACTGAAGACATAAGGCAGCTGACAAATTAGCAGAGAATCTTCTCAGCAAGAAATAAAAGGCATTTGTCTATTTCTCGGGTTTCTTTCAATCTGATTTTTGCTTGAAAACTAATTTACAAGATCAGCTATTATCCTGCCTGTGTTCTGCGATCCCCTTGGCAATGAACTCTTTAGCTATACGAGGCTAATCACTATTCCTAAACCATTCCTAAAAAGCAAGGCATTTGTTCAGAAGACAACTTTGGAATTTAAATCAAAAGCTGAAGTCAGCCACCTGTTTTGGTCTATTTACAGGACTACTGGAGACATGACTTATCTGAAATGCAGTTACAGTGCAGAAAGGCTCCAACTGCCAAGAAAATCCTTGATTTCTACTGCACCTAATTTAGAAATTATGTACTGGAAAGAGTTACTATTTAAAGCACCAGCATAATAGAAGTCAACAAAACCAATACCTTTGAGTAAATACATTCATGCTGTTCTACTACTGCAGAAACTGCGATTGTTCTACTGCTGTTTTAACTGACATAGAGAGTGACTGGACAAGAAATTCAATTAAGTTCATTTGCTCCATAGATTTACTTTGGGGGGGGAGCTTTTTGGCTGAACAAGGAGCAGCACAGGCAGTGGCTGATTTGATCAGAGTGCAGCATTTGATTGGTGAAGTGGCTACTGGCTCAGAAAAGCAGCCAACTATAATTGTCAGAGTGAGGGCGCTCTTTGGACCTTTTTCTCCATCCAATTGATTTTTTCCATGATAACCTCAAACACTTCCCCCTCTCCCAGAAAAACAATCATCTTTCACACCTCTATTTCCATTGCCGAATGTGGTTGCAATCAAACATGTTTCCCAGAAACTGGCAGGGGGCGGAGGGCAGATGGGAAAACAACGTGGCTGTAAAGACAACTTATTGCCCTAGGAAAACCAGACTAAAAGCAGCAGTTGACATTTTATGACAAGGTTTTCAAGTTATTAAATACATTTGGTTAAAATATCTTAAAATACTCTATAGTACTCTATATTTCAAATGCTAAGGAGATAAGAAAACTGATGTGTCTTTTCATATTGTTACCTCAACAATATCTGAGTTGGTTCGGCTTTCATGGGGCTCGTTGTATTCTGTGTATTTAAGTAGAACTTTGTCCATATCAGTGCTGGCATACTGAAAGAGTTTGTTAGAGCTGTTAAAAATGATGAGTGCTATTTCACAGTCACAGAGTACACTCAACTCATATGCCTTCTTCATTAATCCAAACTTCCTCTTCGTAAAGGTGACCTAGAAAAGAAAGGATAATAGTATTCTTTTAAACACATGATGGGTTTGCAGGACTATAATCAAACATTCAAGAAATATGCTAATGGAGCCTATTTATTCCTACTAAAAGCAACACAACTGAACATGTGTACAGGCTCAACACAACAACTACCTGTAATATTCTGGTGTCACTTTGAGGACCAATACCCTGTATTAGACTAAGCTGAACAATTACACCCCCCCCCAAACTCTTCCACTAAAATAACTACCAAGAAGAGTTAAAATTTGAGGATCCTCTAACAACATTTCCTTCTGTTCAACACCGACTTTCAAGGTATCACAATATTTACTTCTGTAATGATGAGTTATTCCATAACTACTCTACAACTTACTCACAACTTTAACTAAAAGTCAAAGAACACAGCTATATCAATGGCAGTAACACTGTAACTATGTAATACTATTTCTAATTATGTAAAGCTAAGAAATATTCTTATTGTGTAGCAATTAAGCCACCTAATCAGATTCATTTATACTTTGAAGTTGTTTTCTGCACTTGGGAACATCATGGAACAATCATTCTGTCCAATTAGAACTGCTGTAGAGAAATAAATCCATTACAAACCATCACAGAGAACCATTTGCCCATAGGAGGAGGGAAAAAGACACTTATAAAAAAATCACTATCAGTTATGAGAAGAAAGGTTTTAAAAATTATTCCTTTCAAGGTTTTAAAAATTATTCCTTTCACAGGATTTCAGTTCAAGATATCAGAGTATCACTGTATTTGATAGCAAACTGAATCAAACAGGATTGATGCTAAAGGTCAACTTTTCTTAAAAGACAGTATTTTTACTAAATGTCCTCTTAAGTGTCTCAAAAAGGCACTTTATCTACTAGTATGAAGTTAATATTCCAAGACATCTTTAATAAAGATGTTATTTTCGGATTCAACCTTTCAACCTGAGCTTCAGAGCTGAATCAAACACCTCTGTCTATGGCCACATTCACACCCCTGCACTACAATTTGAAGTAAATGCCTCTGCACAAGTGAATGACCTACATGCCCTACTTGTTTAGCAGAAAATAGTCTTTTGCAAGATAGGAATGAAGTAAAACACAAGAAACCATCAAACCTGTTTTATGGGTTTCTATTATTTCACGTGTTAATTACCAAGGTGTACATCAAGTTTTTGGAAGACGGGTGGGAAAATTCTGTGTATACACACCTCAAGGCATTTTCTCCAGAGATGAGTATCTCATGCATATTGCTTTTTTAATACTATCCATAATTCAAAACGTATATTCTACTTCCCACCACATGAATAGTCTCAGGGGGATGCAGACAGATACTTTAACAACAGCATGCTGATAATGACTGTACTATTAAAACAATATATGCATACTTTACTCTTTTACCACAGGTGTCGGCAAAGGTACTGTGGACTTGAGATTCCCCTCTGGCCATAAAACTGCATCCACATCCATCAAAAACATGTGCCCCCTGCCCCCAAAATACCAATGTCCCCGCACTTTTTGAAACCCTGAACTGTTAACACTTAGCCACAGCAGGAACAGAGATAATGAACAGAAGACCCAGAAAGATGAGAACATGGAATGCTGGGCTTATTATCATAACCACAGTTTAATTTCAGTTCCTGTGCAGTGTTTCTAACTTAGAGACTTAGGGTTTAAAGACCACTAATCACAGAGGCTTTTGTGATGCTTGAATAATCCATGTTCAGACGAAAGGTAAGTACTTCCCGTAACTTTTTTATTCAACCCTTTTAAAGCATGTCTGGTGAGAAGCTCCATTAAGATAGAGCACTACCTCAAACAATTTTATGTAAAGTGCTGTAACACATTAAGGCTCAACTAGGGTAAGCAGATCTTTTCACTTACTTATTGTTTAACCATTACAATACATTAGTGAGACAAGATGCCACAAAATCTGACAGATTTTACCTTAATGCAACTTCTGTTAAGAGTTTTATTTTCAGTTATCAATTCAACAAATTGACAAAGTACAAATGTAGGTTTTACTGGGCTGTGCTTTTCCCAAATGCAGGTGGAACTTTTACTATTCACCTATAACACAATACAGCTGCTTTTTAAAAGAAGTCTCCTGGCAGTTCTGTCACTTTACACGTGCCTATTTCCACAACACTGGTGTTTATCCTTTCTTGGATGGGACATTAAGAATGACTTTCCCTGGACTCCTCTGCGGATTTGGGAAACACTTTTTTTTTTTAAACCACCGTTGTTGTTGCTCTGATATACTTCAATTACAAGACATGTAAGAGATTATTACCTGAGTATGAACAGGTACAGACAGGTACTACCATTTGTCAGGAAAAAAGGCATCATAAACAAGATGGGTGTGTGCTGTTATTACTTTAAGAAGACACTAAAAAGACTGAAGGCACTAGTTCCATATGACCCTGAAAAGTAATCTTTCTTGCCTCTTGTAAGGCTATATTATTTGAGAGATTTTCTTACTTGTGAGATACTCAGCCAGCATCAATTTCTCACTTTGTGTTTGGACAGTGCTCAGCACAAACCCCACTACCTCTGGAGTCCAAGCCTTACTTTAACAGCCATAGATTATTATAAACTCAGTTTTCATTTAAGAACTCAGAAAGCAGAAATATTTCTGCAAATTTCTCTTTTCTTTTTGCCATTTAATGTGCCATTTAAGATCACAGTAAAAACAAAAAAGATGTTATCTTTATTACAGGCCAACTGCTTCCTCAGCACCAGTACAACACTGCTTAGCAAAAAATGGGTGAGGAGGAGAGAGCAAAGGCAACAAGACTGCAGTTTATTCTCTTCCGCTTAATGAAGATAAATGCTCTACTGCTCATTCAAGCACGTAAGACTGCTTAATTAATAGTACAATGACAGTCTCGGGACAATCGCAATCCCCCAGAGTAACGGTCTATATATTCTGTTTTGAGTCGCATGCAATCCCGTCAGAAATAAGATGCCTCTGATAAAACAATAGTTTTTCTTCCCACGTAAGTCATATGAACTTGCTCCACAGGCAAACCTCTATTCTATTCTTATGCTTTCAAACAAATAAACACCTTACGTTAAACATCGAAAAAGGACATCACATGCATGTTCATGAGTGACCTACTAACCAGCTATGTATGCCATAGAAAAAGTGACAGAACACAACTGAACTACACTTTCGTTCTGGCAAAACAAACCCTACATGTCCTCCTTACATGGGTCAATGAAAAAAAAAAGGTCAAAGTAAATTAATACTAAGTGCATCAGGGCATTTTAGTATATTAAAACTCTACAGACCAGCTACCAAAATCACAGGACGCCAGTGGGGTTAAAGAACACCATAAACGCCTCTATACAGAAGAAATATGGCTCCACTAACAAAAGCTATTTAAGCTATTTAATCTCTTTAAAACCTTTTAAAGCCAAGATGCAGTATGTAATCATCTCTGAGTTTCCACAGAAAAAGGGTAAGGCAAGCTGTCCTGGGTTCAGCTAAGGAGAAAAAGAACTGCTGCAGCTGAACCCAGGACACAAGCCTAGTTCCATTAGAGCTTAAAGGCTTTTCCTAGTCACTAAAAAGCCCAAAAATGTCCTAGCAAAGAACAGCCAGAAGCAAAACTTCAAATTTAATTCCCATATTTTGCTTCAGTCATAGCAATGGTATAAGTGGGCTAAAATTTGATACAAATGCATTAATTTTCCTCTTCTCTACTGATGTAGCCTGAACAATGAGATGGAGATCCACAAAAAGAAAAACTCCCCCTCAAGTCCACCACACCAAAGCCAGGTTACAGTGTTAGAGTTTTTCTATTTCAAGCAGAACAAAAATTTGTCCAAGTTACTCCAAGTTAAAAAAAGGGGGAGAGGGATCAATTTCCATCTCCTCATGTCTGAGTTTCTAGAACAAGACCTGAAGGAACTGAAGTTATTAACTCATCTACTTTTACTACATGTACTTAAGACATTTATCTACATCAAACATACAGTCGCTGTGTGATTAAAGCTGTTAAAACACAATACTTGGCTTTCTCCCAAACTCCAATAATACTTTTCTTGCTATATATAGTCTTCTGAGAGTTTACATTGCTTTTAAAGTGATACAGGCAGAAAAACAATCCTGATGTCACTAACAAAGCAATGGGCTCTGAGCTGATTGTGTCAGCAGCAAGGCAGTCTCATGGAATTCTGACCCTACCCCAACATCAAGTTGGTGCTCAGACAAAACTAAAAAAGTAAATCAAATACTAGGAAGGGAACAGAGAACAAACATCAGTAAACCACTCAGTCCATGTTTTGCATGCAACTCAAACACTGCACTGTTGTGGGTCTCCTTGCCACCAAAAGTAACATAGTGATATTTGAGAAGGATTAGGGGAAAGCAGAGAGAATGGTCAAAGGTGTGCAATCAATTCTGTTTTTAAAGAACTAAGTTTTAGGGTGCATCAGCCTGAAAGAAGTTAGTTTAAAAGAAAATAAGGAAACATTGCAGAGGTCCACAAAGTAACAAGCAAGATGGACAGCCTAGATAGGGAGTGCCTGCTGCCTCTCCCATACAAGAGCTGAATAACTAGCAGAACTATGACAAAGTCTAAATGTAAAGGTGCTTCTTGAAGCAACAGGTAACAGGCCCATAGGAAAGCCTAGCCAAAAGATGCTATAAATGCTGCAGCTTTGCAAGGGCTCCAGGGATAACCAAACAACTTCACTGGCAGGAGGTGGGGAAACCAAAAATAAAAATATCCATTAACGGTTGCTAAATATATGGAAACCACATCCAGCTCAGGAAATCCCTGAGCTAAGAATAGTTAGAAGCTGGAAGAATATTAGAGTAGTGTAACATGTGTGTCTCCATCCTACACTTACTTGCTTATGACCATCACTGGATAAAAGATACCGCTTAGCAGCACCTTTGGTCTGAACCACAATGACTATTCTTAAGAGTCCCAAGTCATTCTCCAATACTTTCCTTACAAATGGTAGCTTCCAGATCCCCCACTGTGCATTTTCAATATTCAATTAAAATTTTACTTCCTATTTCATGCAGCAATTTAGAAGTCAAGAGGAAACTCTCCTTCTATAGAGTCATCGACCTTTGGTACTTTTCAAAGTTCAAGGACACCTCTTTATCGGGGCAAGAGCAGCTAAATAAGTGGCTTTCCCTAAAACAGCACACATTGGAATACCCTACCCTTTTGACCGACAATTCTTCAAGGCTGTTATAGCAAACAGCTCTTACAAGAGGTATAAAACAATGCTTTTAAATAGAACCATGTTAACAAAACTCACGACTATACAAACCATTATCAGATCAAGCAAGGCGTCTGTTTCAACACAATCCTCCAGTCTAAAGGAAGTACAGACCAGGGTACCATTTAAATAGCAATAGCAGATTTACAGTGAATTTAAAGTAGTAATTGATATGAGTTATAAATAACAAATTTCCCCTCAAGCAGCAGTAAAACAATTAAGACATTTCTTATTTGTATTCTGGTAATGCCATCTGTAGGTACATGAAGACAAAGCTTGCCTTTAGAAGAGCACCAGGATGAATGTATTCAAAGTTTCCATTCATTTTTAGGATTATACTGAACTCGCTCATAAACTCCTTGTTTCTCACCTGCCTGTTCCGTTCATCCATTATTCTGGTGATCTGTATTTTCTTTCTCCCCATTTTTGGCCTCTTCTTTCTTTTGCTTTGCAATCCAGAAATATACTAATCCAAATGTCACTCTTCAGTATTCTAACACATGATACAGTTTTCTTTTACTGTCTTCAGCTCGAGAAAACGTTCTTATTTCTTCTTATAAGTGCCTAAAAAAGAAAATAAAAATAAAAAATTAATTTACACCACATAACACTTGTCTGTCCATAAACCAGATGCATGCGTAAAGTAATTTCAGCCAAGAACCAAGTATTTTCACTAGTAAAATGTTACACTACACACTTTGTTCCAATTAAATCAATTCCAACTATTTTGCTAGATTCTACCTATAAACTACAGATTGAAAATTATAATTTCATACACTTGCAACTGGATGCCGTAAAAATTTTCTGCCAAGTGGGTGGTGCTCACCCCTCTAAGCTTCAGGCTTTGAGTTACTGAAGGTTTCAAAAATTCACCCACAAAGTTTTGGAAACCTTACAGAGAAACCACATTGCCGGTCCCCTTTCTCGTGTAAAATGATCATCATGATAACAAAAGAAAGGCATGAGAACATCAAGTTTCTGTTCCTAAACTAAATTACATCTGATTTTGAAAGACAATATTTGGAGTTTCATTCAGAAACAGGAGGGAGAAGGAGTATTTTTATTTTAAAAGGATTAAGACCACGGGAAATCTTTTCGCAGCAGTCCTGTTGCACAGCTACCAATACACCAATGAGTACTTAAGACATTCACGCAGTTACTCTCTCTTCAGTAACCTGCAATTCACACATTTGTCAATAACCAACTACCATTCCAGCACTTGTTTCATGTCCTTATATTGTTTAGAAAGATAAAGGTGCATGCAACTTGAAAAGCCAGTGTGCCATCATAATATTTATCTGGTACTAAGGCACCAAACTAACATGTAAAACACCAGTATTTAACCAACTTTAAATGCACTTTCAGTAAAAAAAAGAATTGCTAAGACATAATCCAAACATACTTCTTCAACTGTTAAGATAACATTAATTCAACAAAACTGGAGGACAAACTGAAATAAATTGCCTCTAGAGCATCAACTGTGTATCAGTGTATAAACATGAAAAAGGTACACCTTACTCTATTACCACCCAATATTCATTAAAATAAAAGGGCAAAACCAGCCACAATATTAGCTTATAACCTCTCTAACTTTCCAACCCAAAATGCCTTTTGAAATCAAGCCTTGCATATTTTACTATGGGTGTCACAATGCCATATCCTTGAGGCCATGTGTAGAAAGTGGTGCAACCACATCACCATCAGCCAGTTAATGAGTAGAGACAGCAAGAGGCAGATTAGTCACAGGCTGCACTTCACAATACATTCAATTCCCACTGAGGAAATAACCACGATGTTCTAACACAGCTTGGGAAGCAAAAAAAGAGGTGGAGGAGCATCACAAAATGACGGGATGTCATTTTATATTTACCTGCTATCAACAAGGGACTGCTTTGGTAAAACACTGTAAAATTCCCCAATGTATTTAGAGATACTATCCCATGGAATTTAAGATCAAATCAACACTAGGTCCATGTGATGTCCACTGGTCACAACAAACAATGCCACCACCCACAACCACCAAGAATATTCACTGCACTCTAAATTTCAATTCATAAAACATCAGCTGCCCCACTCAGGAGAAAAAAGCCTCAGCTCCTACTACAATCACACATTACATTTAGTTCAGCAAAATTCTGGTTGCATCCCTTGGACATACCTAATAAAAGGGTCTCTATAAAACTGCTATTAAAATCTGGGGGGTTTTCTCATTCATGCATGGTTTTATCTTTTAAATATACCATATATTGTTCAGTCAGTTCTCTGACCACAGAATTACCAGACTCCTTTCTCTGCTTTTTAAAAGCAAACACCACGGTAACCAACTAGTACATGGTAACAGCCACCACATGTGACACCAAAAATCCATCTGGTCCAGCATCTTATCTATGGCTATGGCCGAGTATCACCTGGATGGTAAAGGAAGGACATGGGAATAGAATACACATATAACACTTAAAAGCTATATTAGCTATATATAAAAACTGTAACATTTATAAGCCATTTTCTCCAGATATTCAGCGACTTTTGAATCAGAAACTTCTGGAGTCATATTTGGAATCTTAAGACTTAAAGCTGTTCATCAAATGTCCATCAGTATTACTTTTGAATTTGTGTTAAATTTTTAACACCAGGAAGCGAGGAGTTCCACGGCTTGGTTATGCATCAGAGTAGAAGAGACATCATTCCATTTAAGCCTGACCCTTATAACTCTATTTGGTATCTAGATTTTTAATTATACAAGGCAGTAAACAGTCACCTTCACCCTTCACGTCAGCCCTGATTTTGATGCCTATGTTGTATCTTCCTTCAGTCACCTTTACTCAAAACTAAATAATCCTACTCTGATCAAGCACTTCTTACACAAAAGCCATTCTCTGGCCAGCTGGCCCATCCTCTCCACCCTTTGCAGTTACCCCTGTCCTTCCTGAAACAGAAGGACGGGCAGTGTGTATAGTATACAGGATATGAGGTATATAAAATTTTGTTATAATCTACCATAAATTTATACAGAGGCACAATAAAATATGATGTTTGACAGCATTAGACATAGACCTGGGCAACTTTACTACTTCTCAAAATTTTCCCAAGGAAATAGCCCTATGCTCCAGAACACAACTTTAAAAGCCCTGTGTGGGACCGCACACTTTCATACAGTCCTATCACATACACTCATCTCTTCCACCTTCTGCAGTACACATTCAAAAGCAAGTCTATGCAGTGAATAAAATAAGATCTCATGGGAGAACAAGGCAGAGAGTAAGGGAAATATGACTTGAAATTATGCAATATATATACTTAAGGATACAAAATGAGAAATGCACAAATGTTTTCCATGAGCTAATGGAAGAAACAATAGCAGAGAAACACTATTACCTGCTTCATGTACCATCGCACAAAGGGAAATGGGGAAACTGACTGTAATTTTCACCAACATTTTGTTACAGTTTCAGGGTGTTATTTCAGGTCTTGAACAACTAGCATGCTCTATTAGGCATAAATGCATCAACCCATTTCACATCTACAATCTCTGCTTCACCCTCTTTAATCAGCCCACTGCTGTCTCTCATCTCTCTTCTTGCCTCTCTCTACTTTCTTCAACCTCAAGCTCTTTTCTCACTTAGCAGATTCCAAATCCCTACTTGCATGTCTGTCCCCGTTTAGGTCCAGCCTCTCCTCCCTCACCCACACGTTGCTATGGACACCAGAAACCTGGCTTTGGAACATATTTGCCAAAGGCAGCCCAGCTCTGAAATACAGCATCCCTTTCATTTTGAAGTCACGTACAGGATGATATTCAAAGCTAAGAACTGAAACATAAGTTTGGCATGAGCTTAGGGCAGAAAGGATCCTGACACTAACTGCAAAATCAGAGTAAATTGTGCAGTAAAAAGCCACTTTTCATGCGTGCTCAGAACATCCAAATGGGAAGTTACCACCAATGACAAATGCATGTTACATCTCTCATGGGAACAATGACTTTTCCATTTTCTAATCCTTGATCGTGTCAGAGCTGCTGTTTTACTTTCCATCCTGACTAGCAACAAAACCATGTAAGATAAAAGACAGCATCCACTACATGGTTTCATCCAACACAGAAGTAACAGTTTTAATTTTGCCAAATCACAGTTGCATTGCGAACATACTTAAGTCTTAAGTCACAAAGTCATTTCATTTAGATAATCAACAAACTTTGGCCCAAATAAAGGAAAACTGATACGTGAAGATCAATGCATATTTACTTCTGAAACTAAATGTGGAACTAAAGTGGAGTAACCTTGATGAAGGTACCATTCTACTTCCTTAAGTGACAGAATCAAATGATAGCCACCAAAACTGCCTTCCATGACTTGAGGGTCATGCAGAAGCAAAGTATTTCTTTTTCTTGTTTATAACAAGAATTTCAGCAAATACTAAACAAAACAATAAGAATAAACAGAGAAAAGAAGGGAAAAAAAACATGTGCTTCATGATGAGCTTCAAAGAGAAAATATCAGCTTGCAATAATAGCAAGAAAAATGATACTTGTAGCTGTCCAAGTAAAAGACTATTACTGTATAAAAGTAGATTTCATTCCAAATTTTCTGGGTTTATTCCCTTCCCCTACAATTTGAAAACACACTAAATACTGAAAGCCAACAGAACCATATGCACAAATACCCCCTCCTGACTGCAGATTTTCAGGAGCTCTGCTCCCTTCTCTGTTGTCAAGGTTGCTCACAGTTTCATAATAGCGAGAGATACAGAACTTTAAAGCTAGGAAACTGTGTTTGACCTATTTAAAAAGATTCTTTCAAGGGTTCAGTGGAAAGAAATTAGATCTGTGCAGAACTCCACAAGGTTTGGAAGCCTTCTGGCAGAACAGGTTAGGAAAAACTGTCAGAATTACACCCCTTCCATTTATTTTCCCTTTATTTGCCTCTGCCTCTTTGTTTTCTTGGAACTTCCATTTCAGCATCATGGTTACAGGTTACATTTGACAGTCACCATCTCAGCAGAGCTCATTTACTGCAATGCACACAAAGAAATGAGTGTCATGACGTCAGATCATTTGCATGATAACTCTCAAAAGCCACAGCTGCATGAAAACGGATCTCTACAGATGCAGCTCACACTGATAATACTTAGGTAAGGCTTACTAAATAGCAGACAATGTTCTCTTATTAAATCAAGGTTAATAGGTCTTTTTCTAGTCTTAAAGGAGCTTGTGCAGATACTCCTGTAGATTCTGCCCCTCAGCATGAACTGATGGGCACAGACTGCGCTACCAAATCACAGCCAAACTGCACTCACTGGCAATTCCAACTAACACTTTGCATGCTCACCAAGGATGTGACCAGAATATAAAGATTCCCATACATAGCAAGATGGATGAAGCCCATCACCATGTGTTGACTTCTTTACATGAACATTCCACCAACCCTGCTCCAAAATTCACTGCTACCATTTTGAAGACAGATTTTGAAATTAAGATTTCAAGCAAAGGGACTCTATCTACCTTTATGTGTGCCTTTAACAGAGACCACACTCACATTCTTGCTGTGGTTTTTACAGAGGCGTGCAAA